CTTAGTGCCCTCGCTGATGTGAGATACTTTAACAAACCAAGAGATGATATCAAGGATAGAAAATAAGTATGGGCAACGTCACACCACTCTTTTTCATGTCAAGTGGGCACAGAACATAGCTTCGTCAAATCTGGAAGAAAACTAAAAACCCGGAACTCAGCCAAACTACAGGAAAGGATGACAAAACAGATTTTGGCATGATAAGAGCAGGAGTACAAGCGTCATTTGTGCTGATTAGACCAATCTAAGATATGCTATACAGATGGATAGATTAGACGACAAGCTGCTCGAAATTAGGTCAGAAGGCATGCCAAAAGAGAAGCCTGAAGCAACCAATCTTCGGCGAAAATTTACGCCTCATACGTTAGTGTGATTCTTGACATATAGAAACCACCTTTGCGAATCCAAAATATTAGCCCGTCTTATGCGAATTAAGGCAAGCCAAATCTTTCTTAGAGTTGAATAATTTATAAATGATGCTTTGGTATTGAGAGAGTCAATCGTGATAAGAAAGTAAATTCAACTTCTTTATGTCGTACATTGTGCGAACACAAAAACTGATTAAAATAAAAAAGAAAAGAAATAAGCAACTCGGTGCAAATAAAATGGTTTAGTATCATAAGAGTCAACTCGATGAACACCAGAAACAAATTATTATTGCATATATTTTTATCTTTTCTAAATCCCAATTCTTCGACGCAGGAGTTCGTAGCGCTTTTGTATAGATTAAGAATTGTAATTAGCATAATAAGGATTGATGACTCTACAGAAATATTTGTTGAAGTCATAAGACCTTAGAGAAATAGAAGATAAAACTTCAGTAGGCATTACCGCAGCAATTAAAGTTTCATTTTAAGAGTCTTTAGCCATGTAGGACCCATTACCTATCTCTAGGGTATATATAGGAAGTCAAGTTTAAAAGAAAATAAAGAGCTCAATAAACCTAAAGAAGTTAATATAAAATTAGACAAGGGCATTAAACAATTATAAACATAAGTAAGGTAGGCTAGCAAGAAGAAGAAACTAGGCTCTGCAGAGAAACGGCAAATCAAACAAAGCGAAAAAAATCAGCTACTTCCCACGATCATGAACAAAGAAAGTGGCATGAACAAAAAAAATGAATAAAAAACCTTCGAAGCATAAGATTGATGTGCTTAAAACTTAAAAAATGGCAATAAAAATGCAAGGGAATCAGGTTGAAAAAGCCAATAAAATCATTCAAATAGAATTGAATATCCTTCAATCGCTTGGACCAGCATCCCTTGAATAATCCAGACACAAGCTCACTTTAATATCCGAATATCTTCAGGCTGATAACTCTAGGCTTTAATCGATGGTGTATTGAGGACTCTGGTGATCACAATGAATATCATTGGTCTGTAAAAGCTCTCAAATTATTTCCTTGAAATGTGCTCACGAATTAAGTAATCCGGCATAACTTTATATACGCGCATTTAAAATCGGAAATCGACTAATCGCTGGATAAGTAAACACAAGCAAGTGTGAAAAAGGCTAACAGTTACGCAAAAATATAATAATTAACCAGAGCCAAATCTGCACGAAATCATTTAAATTTAATATATCCGCCCACAATCGGTGCGATTTTCATGAGTGAACAAGGGAAGACAAGAGTGCTAAATATAAGGGCAATAAAAAGTGGCTAGTTTGAGAAATTAGACTTATTTTTGAGACTTATTATTCTTAGTTCATCTCGTCATACTTCTGTTATCATATGCGATTGTGACATATTTGTTAAATGACAGGAAGGATAAAAAGTAGCGTAATCGAAAAGGTTAGAAATTGCATACTGTTAAAATTATCATTACGATGACTGTAGCTATGAGATCGATTTTGTTTATGCTCTTAAAAATGATAAAATTAAAGATAAAAATACTAGTAAGGAAGCTAATAATGATAACAGAAAAGGTGATGGTGGTGATGCTAAACATAATTGTATAGGTAGTGCTAAATGTATAATGGGTATAATTAGTAAGTTTTTGAGACTACCAGTTGTCATTCCCAAATTGTGTTTAAATGTAAATAAATTAATGCAAAATATTTTTAATAGAATGCACTAATTTAGCTATTCCTGACCATTAAAAAGTGTACCCCCGATTGCATTTTAGCACTTTTGTAGGTGAGCTGATCGCATTACTTAACTTGTAGATATGAAGAACAAGATTGTGTGGCCCTCCGTTTGGTCGTAGTCTACTTTAGCTTTATAGTGTTGGTTCGACCTTGCTTTCGCGACTTGATCGGAGTCAGGGAGACTTTGTGGAACGTACCTAGTCTCGTGACCTCTGCCTGTCACTTATCAAAGTGACAAGTGATAAGTTGTAACTTTGTGCTTACGACGGCGCCTCTCACTGACGATGCCGGCGAAAAGTTTGGGAAAGTACCCAGCCAAAAGTCCAACGCTGGAAATTACTAATACTATGGCAGAGGACACAGGGCTGGGTACGCTCCAAAAGGTCTCTCTGATGCTCCAACCAAGCTGCAAAAACAAGCTTGAACCAACACTGATCGCATTACTCTTGATGTTGCCGTTCACAAAAATGCGGGAAGGAAATAATAGATCATAAATTGCCTAAAGTGGAAAATTCATAATGTTCAAGCAATCGATCTACGGAGTGCACTGCATAATGTCCATAAGAGCATGAAAAAATATGGCAATAGAGCAAAAGGTAGTGAAGGAAATGAATTTGATTGTAGTGGAATTTATATCAGTGTAAATACATAAATATGGATGCATCACTTAATTTGAGAACAAACTGTCATTATGATTTGCTATCACCCCCCAAGTGAATGAACGTGGCGCTGATTTAAGAATGAGACAGCCTGGAAAAATATTTCTAAAAAAAACTAAAAGCACCGATAAGAAGATTAGCAGCCAAAAACCAAGGTAATCTTGGTGAACCCCGTCCGAAAGAATAACGCCATTGCTTTTAGACATAGAATGTAGGGCTGAAGCCCTAAGACGGTCGTGGTGGCACCTTGTTACGAGTTAAAGTAAATTTTAATTGTTTAATGTGGCAAATGAGACTCAATAATAAAGATATCAGAATATATAAATAATCAACAAACAACGGCAAAGCAAGTCTAGTCTACGTGTCATTTAAGGAGGGTTGATCAAAGTTTACTTAAATTGGATCGCTAGTTA